TCAAATTCTATGCTTTAAAATTTGTCATCAACACAAACTACATAATTATACATAATAGTAGAACATTCGCAAAAGAAAAACTGCTACTGAAACAAATTAATTCAAGAAAAGTTAAATCACTAGTCCGGTATCTCCGAACAGCCTGATATTGTTCTTGTAGTGTCACGCTATAGATGCTTATTGATCGTGCTGCCGTATGAATCAGTAGGAATATAGTCACACTCGGATTACATAAAGCATCAAGTTTCGCCCATCATTTACTTTTTAAGTATTAAGCTTTGTCAACGCTGATTTCTTTTCCTTTCGAGATCAACATTTCCCAACAACAGTCGCTTGTGCATATTATTGATTCCATTGAAAGTAATATCTCAAGTAAAGGAAATAGCGTGTTCATCACGACGTCGATGTTTTCGCGAGAAATCTGACTTGACGTTGCACTAATTTTTTTCACTTTTCATTTCATCGCATTGTTCATTTTTGTGATGAACTAAATCAACATCACATCACTTTCAACGTAATCATACCATAACTTATCATCACATTTTGTCATTTACTACAAAAAAAAAGAAATAGAAGTAGTCGGACTCAGTGGAAAATCTGCCGATTAACAGAGTCGACCTCATTGATCGCTATCTTCAGGACGCCATTGATCGTTATTTCCTATCGACCGACCTTACTCTATTCTCCATTTACCTAGAGTGAGATGTTCTATCTTCATTCTGATCAAACTGCTATTTGCTGATCGTCATCGTTACTTTTCTTTTTTGCTTCAAAATAAACATTCTTTTTGATTGTCACTCACTTTGTATGCTTGAGTAATGTGATTGATGCTGAAGTGTCTGTCTTAGAACTGCTATATTGACGCTTTCGTTGAAAAATATCCTTTAGGGGGTTTAGTGAATGTTTATGGGAATGGTATGGACGTGAATCGATCAGTGAGAATTCTTCAATAGATTTTTTTCGTATCATTTGATGCATTGCACCATTAATAAACAGTGATATGTGATTTCTGTAATCTGAAACGTAACAACTCCTATTGCAAACATTAAACACTGCAGAACCGAATTTTCTAACTTTGGATCAATTCCTATAGTTTGCGTTAGTTAATGATTGCGTTACAGTACGAATGTATCGCTAACACATTGATAACGACGTACCGTTACTGATGTTTTACTACAGTTTGATTTCAAATTTGGACTTTAGAGGATCGATAAATGGTACATAAATACTCTAGTGTATATGAAATGTACATACAACAGTGTTGTAACGTGTTTACGCCATATATAGCTCACATTTTTGTCGTCTTATTACTGAAACTATTCTTATGCAACGATTTATACTATGTTTACCATATAAAGTTAATTGAACTACAAAAATAATGAACTACGTCTATTCGATGTTTTTTACTGAGATCATTTCTGATCGGTACCCTGATAGCAATTCGCTTAATATACTTTCATTTCTTTTTGCTCATAAACGGAAATCATCCATTAAATTATATTCTATAAAAGAAGAAGGGGGAACACTTGAACGTTTTGATGAGTACGATGATGACGATAGTTGTAGTGTTGATGACAGTACTAGCAATGGTTGATTGGTATGTTGGTGCTAGCGGTAGTGGTAGTGGTACTGGTATGGGTAGTTGTCACGTGAAGATTTTTATAAGGGTGAACAGAATCTAGTTTTCCGTAGCTATTCATTTTGTGATAAAGGTGATATTTTATGAATGACAACCGTCTGAATACGGCGTTATATGCTATGATACTTATTCGATTACTGTTATTATTGTTACTTATTGGAGAGGAGGTCAACTCACAATTTACAACGAACGTCACTGACGCGCAACGGTGAGAGATATTGAAATACATTCATTAAATTAGTGATTTTACCTAGTCCGTAAAAATACTCGTGGCAGTAGTTATTTAGTGATTAAGATAGCATTTAATCGATGGCTAGATGCTTTATATTCAGGTCATCTTTAAAGGGTTTTGCTTTTCCCTTTATATTTTTCACGACTCAACACACGAGAAGTGAATGAAGCGTTTTAGAAAAGAATGCGATGATACCTGTTGCATGCTTTTCATTGGAATTAAATGAAAAGCGAATGTTTGGGCTATTCGTTTTCCTCGCTTTTGAATTGCTCTCTTAAAATTTGTTGACATTACTTTTTTCACAAAAAAGGAACCAGAAACGAAAGCTAGAGAATCTTCCCAGTCATTCCGCACTGCAGCAAAGATCCGTAACAAAGGATAAAGGATAAAGCTCTCGGCGTTGATCATTCCCTGAGGGATACGCCATGCATTCGACTTCATTAAGCATCGTTTGGAGGTGATTGAATGCATATCTGGCCTTAACAATGACTCGCGGTGGCCTACCGATGTATTGAGCCAATGCTGCTGTCCTCCCAGACAAGTCCGGTATTAATTCGCTAACTCCGAAGTGATGGAAAGCTTAGTGGGCCATGGGCTCCAGGTTCGATTCCGCGTATGTGCTGCAGGGCGCCTCCTGCCACAGTGCCACACGCGCTCTAGGTTTGATCCGTTGATCCTTAATAGTAATAGTTCTTCTCAAGAACGACCTTCTATTAACCTTAGCACTGGATTATAAATCTGTCGTTTTCTTTTTTACAGCAAACGCGAGGTTGTTGTTTAGTCCACGTTTATTTCCTTACGCGTATAACACGTATAACACTACGGTAGCCGACGTTTCGGCAGTATCGCTTTCTTCGGAACCCGAAAGAGTACACTGATAAGTAATTTACTAGGCCAAATGTTTCAACAGCACAAACAGAAAGATGAAATTCTGAACAACAATTACACGATCACCGGCTTCTCGAAAAACCCACGGTTTTCTAGCTGCCTTCCACTAAGGAAGAACAGCCGCTTAGAGTCGCATATGGTTGATGACTGCACCATCCCACATCAAAAATCAATTTCGAGATATAGAGCTAGATCACGTGTTATCTCAGGGCATTCTTCCCTGCTATTCGTGCCGGGATTCCTGGCATTTATCCAGAAACCTCGAGAAGTTTGCGCGTTGGTGTTTTAGTCTCCCGTGCGAGGATATTGACTTTGACTTCAAAGTCGTGTCCGCTATGCTTTTGTATCCTAGGCGTGCTTAGTGGAGTGCTTTGTCTTGCTTTTCGTTTGCCATCTAGGTGTTTTTTTATACGGATACATAAAGGCTTGCCCGTTTCGCCGATATATTCGTCTCCGCAAGTACCACAAAAGCTCGGTGATATCGTACCTGAACTCATGCAGTCACCGTCCCTGCCGTAAGGGCAAATTACGCAATTCAGTATTTCACAAAGACGGTCGTACAGGCTGTTAGGAACTAACTAACGACGTAGAGTATCCGGTGGTATTTCTATTAACGTTAGCGATTCCTCTAGATCTGTCCTTCTCAAGCATCGCATCATCGCTACACTTATTTCGTCGATAATGAAGTGCAAGATAAATGGGATTTTGTTCCAACCAAACCGTTTATTTTGGGCATTGCTCTCTTTCTCTTCTTCTTGCCTGAATTGCTCGATTTTCGGATGGTCTGGAAAGTATGTCGCGCAAATAAGGGGGTTGGCAATGGGACAGCGACTGGCACCAAGCCTTGCCACTGTGTTTATATCTAAAGTAGAAGCCTACGTTCTCGGTCTCCGGCCATTACTTTACTACAGGTACATAGATGATTGTTTTGTTATCTTCTCTACGCAGGAAGAGATGGACAATTGCTTTGGATTATTGATTGAGCAGTCTGAGTACATTAAGTTCATCCGGGAAAAACCGAAAGAAAACTGACTTCTGTTTCTAAACGTTCGAATAAACCTATAAGGTAGCGGTTACATGACAAAGTGGTACCGAAAGCCAAGTAACAGAAACATTCTCGTTCATTTCCTTTCTTCCCACTCTTCACACACAAAGAGGGCGATTGTGAGAAACATGTTTCGAACAGCCACCTCTGTGTGCACTACCAGGGAACTAAAAGAAGAATCGCGCGACTTGGCTCGGCAAATAGCCATCTCCAATGGCTACAAAATAGTAACCCCACGAGATAAGTTTAGAAGGATAAAGACGAGCCCAAGCGAAACACTTGGCAAAAACAAAATCCCATTTATGTTGCCTTTTATTAGCGATGAAGTAGGCTATAAAACGATGCTTAAGAAGGGCAAGTCTAGAGGAATCGCTAGCGATAGTTGAAATACCACCGACTACTCTACGTCTTCAGTTAGTCCGTAACCGCCTGTACGACCGTCTGTGTGAAATACCGAATTGCGTAATTTGCCCTTACGGCAGGGACGGTGACTGCATGAGTTCAGGTACGATATACCCGATCTTTTGTGGTACTTGCGGAGAAGAATATATCGGCGAAACGGGCAAGCCTTTATGTATCCGTATAAAAAAACACCTAGATGGCAAACGAAAAGCAAGACAAAGCACTCCACTAAGCACGCCTAGGATACAAAAGCATAGCGGACACGACTTTGAAGTCAAAGTCAATATCCTCGCACGGGAGACTAAAACACCAACGCGCAAACTTCTCGAGGTTTCTGGATAAATGCCAGGAATCCCGGCACGAATAGCAGGGAAGAATGCCCTGAGATAACACGTGATCTAGCTCTATATCTCGAAATTGATTTTTGATGTGGGATGGTGCAGTCATCAACCATATGCGACTCTAAGCGGCTGTTCTTCCTTAGTGGAAGGCAGGTAAAAAACCGTGAGTTTTTCGAGAAGCCGGTGATCGTGTAATTGTTGTTCAGAATTTCATCTTTCTGTTCGTGCTGTTGAAACAATTGGCCTAGTAAATTACTTATCAGTGTACCCTTCCGGGCTCCGAAGAAAGCGATACTGCCGAAACGTCGGCTACCGTTATGTTGCATGTGTTATATCCGCAAGGAAGTAAACGTGTGCTGAACAACAACTTTGCTATTGCTGTAAAAAGAGAACGACAGTAATGATTTTGCTTAGTGATGTTTTCCTGGGATGTTGATTGTCTCTAACTGCAATATGACTAGACCTGTTGAAATATTCAAGACTATGATCTTTTTTGGTTTTATACTGATAGATGGGCTAATCGATGGTTATTTTACATTGCGAACCAGAACAGCCCAAGATAGCAGGGAAACCTCTTATGATACAGTGATTCGGAATTCTCAAGTTTAACAAAGAATACGAAGAGAAAACGAAAAAATCGACGAGTTACTTCGTTTACATTTAGAATATTTGCGAAACGAGACATTTACGATAATATTCGTAAGGATGATCCGAAATCAAAATGTCGTAATGGTGGAATCTATGCTGGGGGTCAATGCCATTGTATTCATCCTCATACTGGAAAAACTTGCGAGGATTTTGCATGCGGTAAGGTCAGCCTATCATTGTCCCATGTTTCTTTTCTCTTTTTCTCTTTTTTGTTTTCCATTTCTTTTCCTAGTTGTTTCGATGGGCAGGCACAATGTTAGCTTTAAGTTCTTTCAATTTCAGTTCATGGAATATCTGTTGGACGTCGTTATGATCCACTTAGTTTAATTTTTAGTAAGCCATGTATTTGTGATGAAGGTTGGAAAGGAGATCTATGTGAATATCATTTAACCGATCGAGTACGACTTTCACCTAATGTCTTCCATTTTCTCTACTCTATTCGCCCTTCTCTTAATTTTGCCGTTAATTATCGATCGATTCAGGTTTTCCTACTCATACATACTATAATTTTTCTTATCACTCGTTTAGTGTAGTAATAGAGGTGAATGGAAAAATAACAAATGTGAGTGTATTGGTTCATTTTTCGGTGATGAATGTCAATTTACAAGCCGATGTGACAATGGTATCATCAAACATGGAAGGTATTTTGTTAGTTACTGTTAAGTCACTCTTTTCTTTGAAAAATTTTCTAGCTTAAGTTCTAACACAAACTATATAGTATATTACACCACAACCAGTTTTTTTATAGCATGACTACTGAATTACATAAAGTAGGCAACATAGATAGGTTTTATGGGAAATTCGTGGCTGTATTATGAAAACTCGTCCATGCTCTCCTGCTGTTGGTCGTTAGTTCTAGAATTGTCTTATTCCTTCTATTCAAGAAGAGAAAAGGTGGAGGTGCTTTTCAAAGTGGAGACTATACCTGGAGGCAGTTTTTTTTTAAGAGGAAAGCTTATTAAATATTCATTGCAGATGTATATGTAATAAACATTTCGAGGGTGATTACTGTGAACGAATAATTTGCTATCACGGATATGCAAGTGAGTTTAGAAGTCGTATTTTTAGTTGTATTTTTTTATTTGGAAGAACCCTATTTATTCATTGCGTCTAATCAGTCATCTGCTCTCTCGTGAGATATGTTTTGCTTCCTCGCGATCAACGACGATTCTTCATAAGATAAGCAGATTATCGATATGAATGATGATCGATGATGATAACGTTGACATAGTTTCTTCTCTTATCTAATTCTCTGCCAATATAGTTCTCACAACATTTACCTTGATATTTGCTGGAAATATAAAGTGACAAAAAGTGAGGCCACAACGCTGCCTAACCCACTATCCAGTGACTTGTCACTGGTTGGCTACTGATGAGTTCTATTGAGTGCCGAACTGCGATTTTCAATAGGAATATATCCCTCGAGCAGAACTTTCAAGGCTGGCAAGAAGTTCGAGATTTTCATCTTGGCGCAGAACTAACGTTGCACCAACACCAGGATTTACTACCGTATTGGCAATTAATGTTGTGCCAATGTGGCTTATCCTCCTCCGATCCCCAAGGATCAGTGGTCAGTGTCACTGCTTTGTGTGAGTCCTGGGAAACACCAAATTCGATTATCTCAAGACTTCACTGAAAGGCATTCTTGTCCAACCAGCGAATTATTACTCAGATGAACACTGTACTTGGCTCTACGTGATTTTTCGTGAAGACGTGAAACAGTAAAAATTGTTTACTGCAAACGAGTTTCTACTATGCTTTCTTTTCAGATCTAAAAAATATGTCTCGTTCATGTATCTGTCCTGCAAAGTATAAAGGATTACACTGTGATCAGTGTTCCCAGGTTGGGCCGAAAATTCTGCCATATCCAATTTGTACTGTAAATTATATTCCAAGTCTTGCTCGTCAATCGCGAAGGAAGACACACCAGCAGGTAAACATTTCATCTAAACAGAAAGAACGGAGAAAGAGCACAGATGTATTACTTTCCATCTATTTGTCTTCTGTCATCGTTTTGTTTATTGACTAATTGCTTGATTAATTTGAGCACAGGTAGAGTGCAGTGGTGTTGATGCCGTTCAATAAGCGGAAGACACTAGTTGGTTGAACCTGGTAACTAGTCAACCAAACTCTTCATCTCTCCAAGGAGTGTGCCAGACTTGTCTAGAATCATTTAATTCTTCTCATTCCACAAAAACTGCGACTGCTTGCGATGTGTGAACACTCCCTATCAGGACTACCCCAGGATTCCAGCAAGAATCAACTTGACCAGCTTTCAGCAATATTCATAGAGATGATCAACAATCGTCGAGCAGCAGCCCAATCCGCACAGGTGAAGACCTTCTTAGTGATGCGGGGAAACCAATTGAATGCACGAAATTCTGGGACCCACACAAAAGCTGTCAGAACGGCCTAATGAATAAGATCTTATGGAAAAAATATCCACAAACTGGTCGATTTAGAACATCATCTGGTAGGAAATCTTTCAAGGCGTCGGAAATGATTATCAGTTTATTTGAGTAAGGGTAATATTTGAAAGAGAAAGCAGATCGAAAAAATTCTCAGCACAGTACAGTGCGAAACCCTGATATGACAGTTAAGATCGATGTTTTTTTTCATTTACAGATAAAACATCGTTTCGCTATTATGGCAGGAGCCGTTACCTTCCTAGTTGTGATCGCCGTTTCAATGTGTGCCTTTCATGTTTGGCATCAACGTCGGAAAAATCCTGAGGTAACGTGAAATCTATGAACATTGTCTTTACGATTATAGTAATGAGAATAAAGATAGAAGAGAAGATAAACATAAATGTCTTTTATGAAATGCTGAGATATTTGCAAAACTCCGGACCACAGGTGTATGCAGTGGGAAACGAACACGCGCTGTTGTCCTTACCGGGGAGCAGCGCACTTCACCACTACACCATCCGGGTCCCGGATTAAAGGACCCCCGGTAAGGACAACAGCGCGTGTTCGTCTCCCACTGCATACACCTGTGGTCCGGAGTTTTGCAAATATCTCAGCATTTCATACGAGTTATAATTCGAAACATAACCTGCCATTAAGAAGAAAAAGGCAGTAAATAAAAGAGTTAAGATAAATGTCTTTTTTATTTACTGAAATTCTATGTCCTACACCAAGAAATTTGTGTTGTTTGCCTATATTGCTTGGCTGCTCGTCCTATCATCACAATTGACCACGGGATAGCATAGTGTATTCTCATAGCTATTCATCTGTTTACATCCGTTGCAAATTAACTCAATGAAAGAAAAAGCATGGAGGCTATGGCGACTAAATGGTTGTTCTCCTTTTCTTCTTTTACTTTTCTGCTTTTTTTCGTTGTAGTAGCATCAAAATTTTTCTCCTTTCCAGGAGGAAGCAGTACGAATGCAAGCCTTGTCAGAAAGAACTCAAATGTTGACCGATGCAGCACTTCATCCGGCCATTCCGTGAGACTTTTCATTCGTGGCTTTTTCAATTTTTCACTATTCCGGCAAAAAACTGGGTTCTAAAAGCTAATCCTATTGAATGTGAGGACTAATTACTAAGAAAGAAAGTAGATGTGGGATGAAATCTTCGGCTTTGCTTAATTCCTGAGGGATGCGCCATACGTTCTACTTTCTATTCTGTTTGGGCATTGTAGAGGTTATTGACTGCATATTTCGCCTACACAATGACTTGCGGTGGTTTACAGTTAGTGCTGATAACCTGTCAGACAAGTCTGGTATTAATTTGTTCACCCCTAGGAGACTGGACACTTGATCAGCCAACACTGCGGGATTAAGCCGAGAACCATGTATGTGTTGTAGAGCGCCTCTAATCATTACACCGCACACGTCTCCATTTTAGTATATGGTCAGGAATGGGCAACAAGCAGAGCATTTGTGATAATTTATATGTACCCTAGAGCCTTAATAGATACATTCATTTTGTCGAGCATTTTAAAAATGACTGACTTGTTCGCTTTAAAGCTCAGAACCTTCATGGTACGTTTCAGTTCCTGATAGACATATTTAAAGGAAAGGAAAGAAAACTGTTCGCTTATAATAATATAATAATAATTTATAATAATAATTTATTTTTTAGAACGCGAGCTTTCTGTAGAAAACATTAGGATTCAATCATACACTAATTCGATACATGTTATTACTTTGGAAACAATACATATTCGGAGTGTTCAAAATCTCTATTCAATTCCAAATGTTCACACAAGAATGCATGTTTTATCGACAAAAATATAAATTACTATGATGCTGCTCTCTGAACAATTTTATACATTATTATTGCATAAAAATTGTCTGGGCATGTGTGGTGCGGTGTACGCTGTGTTAGACACACGTTCTTTGGTTCGAACCCGTGCCCAAGAACACCAAACCTGCCATACCTGCCAGGTCGACGAATTGCTACCAGACTTGTCTCCAACTATGAAAACACTTGCTTAGTGAATCCACGCCAACCTCAAGTTACTGTGCGGAGTAAATATGCATTAAATCACTTCTACGATGCTGCCAACTGTGAGGAATGCATAACACATCGCTAAGGGATTTATCACGCTGAGTGTTATTTCTTTTGTGCTTCATCCTTTATAAAATTGTGCTCTTGTTAATTTTTCGAAAAGACCAATATTTTACGAAAGAATCAATTGTAAATCTTACTGAACATAATTAAATTTCAGGGAAGTACAAACTACAATAACGAAGAAAGAACGCAGACGTTCTCTGACAAATCCATTTCGGATGCGACGCTCAACTAGCGGAGGTGGGAGTGAAATTTTTCACCTAGTCTTGTAATAAAGAGGCATTAGGCAATGTTTGTATCTGCCTTCGGATTCGGAATCAAATAGAGGAAACTAGGTGTTACGTGGACTAATTCCTCTACTATTCGATTTGGATTATTTTCCACCAAATATTCTTCAATAGTGTTTCAAACTCTGCACTTCTTTAGTTTATTAGCTAATCTTTGTGATAATGTGTTAATAGTTGCAATTATAGTAAAGATACGTAATAGAAAATAGTGCTCATCGAGTGGTCACAATGGGCACTCATTTCGACAGATCCACCCCAGCTGTGAAAGAACTGGGCGTTTCTGTGCAATGCAATGTAGCTTCTTCTAGCTATGATTAGATCAGTATCAGGCATCTTTATTTGTTAGTAGTCTGTTCGTCATCTCCTCTCTAAGGTGATTCAATTCATTTACATGAAAGTGCGTGTAGTTTAGGACAACAAGGTCGTAGGAGGAATTGGACGCCGTTTCCATCCTTATTCTCTCTTTTGATTTAAGCATCTCGATCTGTGAATAGGAACGGTCTATCAAATAATTCTAAGAGTAGGACGAATGTTCCTGAGTTCAGAATCAAAAAATTATGACCTGGTAGCTCTCCAAAACCACGAGGATGATTTTTGAAATAGGAGAAAACGTTGGGATTTCATTTTAGCGAAAGGAGTCCTAAACGGTTTGTAATAATTTGGTTTTTTGAGTGTTATTGCTGGTGTTATACAAAGGTTAAAAAAAGATATTGGAGGCAGATAAATAAACAACTCCAAATAACTGGTCTCATGATTCACGCAAATGGTGTAGAATTAACAAAAGACAAGTTCTACTCAGAGCTTCGCTCTCCCACAAATCAAGTTCCAGACGCTCAGATCGCCTCTAAGGACATCCATTTGGATTCATCACCTATCGCTTGGAACTGAGGACGCGTGTAGCGCAGTGGTCGGTGGTGCTCTGTAATGCACATGGGATCGATACAGTATCCAAGCCCTTCAACCCTCCAAGTTCGATAAATTGGTACAGACTTTCCTGGACGGATAGAGGAACTGACTCGATACATCGGCAGGCCACCGCGAGTTTTTGTAAGGGCCAGAAATGCATTCAATCACCTCCAGCGATTCTAAGTGAAGTCGAGTACATGGCGCATCCCTCGGAGATTGATTAACGTCGAGAACTCTACGCTTTAACTCTATCCCTTAGTAGTTCCAATTTCAGTCTCTCGCGCAAGGAGCAGTGCACTTTAATGAATTGCTCGCAGAAACGCACTTACCCCTTGAGCTGAGATCTAGTGTAAACGCGTACTTTTAGGAACTCCTTTAAGATTATATTTAAAAAAGAAGGTATTTTGCTGCAATGAGGCGTATGTAGCTTAGTGGTTAGATGTGCCCTATAACTAAGCCAATGTTTAAACAAGTCCTCCATAACCACAGGAGTCAGTGAAATGGTGCTAGACATATCTGGGAAAATGAAAATACTAACTTGAAATATCGTCAAGCCGCTGTAAGTAATTTTATAAGGCAACCATGCTTTTAGTTGTGCTAGAGGCTTAACAAGATAGAACACATGCCGCATCCCTATAGGAATTATCAATGGTGAGTGCTTTTTATTTTCTTCTTTAACTTCTTAGTAGAATGTAAGACTCTGAGCATAGTCATTTGCCCAGGGATCGCTGGTTGTGTTGTCATCAAAAGTTTTGTCTAATTTGTTTTCTTTTCTGAATGTAATTTACATTCTATTTGCAGATATATATATATGTATATATTCAATAAGTACAGCAAAAGGGTTTTCACTTGTGTGAGTCACATTCACACCATAATGTGATGTAAACGAATTTGTCAAAGACATATCTTTTTACCCTTGACATTTGCAGATTATGGCAATGTTTGACAACGGCATTGAAAAGAACGTGAACCTCTTAAATCATCGACCAAATAGGGTGCCAGTATTTCTAGATAAGAACTTAACTCGGTTGCTATTGCAAATGGCCACATGACGAACACTCCTTCGTCTTCTTCATTCGTTTCGAACTTTTGTTTTTTTCAACATCACCGTCGTGCTTTTAAAAAGCTATTATCAAATTAATGTCGAGAACTCAGGCTAGGAGATTCTTATCGTAATGGATCACACCGATGGAGCGTTTCGGTCGTTAACAGTAGCCAAAGAACTTATTTAAGCGAATCGTGTCGATGAGAGGAGGACTTCACCACAATTTATAAGACTAAAATTGAACATGATATACGACGGTGAAACACATCCAGCAATGAGACGAGTAGAAATTCTACAGCGCAAAACATTTCTGACAATGAGCTTTCAAACCGAAATGTATCGCTACGATCCTCAAACATAAGGCGTGTGTAACTCATTAGTTAGAGTTCACTGTAATACACGCGTGCTGATTACTTCAATCCTTCCTATGGCATAACAAAGCTCCTATGCCTAGACAGATTGGTAATATGGACTGTGAAGACAAAACACTACATTGACATCACATTGTTAACTCTTTATTTCCTTCCTACTACAGTTTTTCACGGCAAGGCATTATGTGAAATACAATCAAAATGGTGTTGAGCTATTTGCAAGCTCCGGACCGCAGGTGTCTGCGGTGGGGATCGAACACAATGTTATCCTTTTCGGGGCTAACGTGTTCACTACCGCACCATCGCCTTTCTCTCAGGTAGTTTTCTTTCTACCAGTGCCTGAGTTGATACTTCTCATGCTTTGCAAGTCATTGGTCAGACATGCAATTAGTCACAACCACGATGGTACGAATGAAGTTCAACGCGTGACGCCTTTCTAAAAGAATGATCACTGTTGAACGCTTTGTTTCATATTTGGTGTATTTGTTTTTATCGAGAATTAGAACACGAACACACGAACATCAACGAATCAATGATAAATGGAAAGAAAAAGAGAAACAATTCATCCACATGAACACACTTTTGCTGCGCTATAGTATCGATCAACGATTTGATC